TGATGGGGGTTTGGATCAGACCGCTAGCAGTGGAATTGGTAAGCAGTGGTCAGATTCTGGAAATCTTCAACAAGATATGTGAGGGGTGAGAGAAAGGGAGGCGTCAAGGATGCCTCGAAGGCATTTGGAGTAGGTAAAGGATGGAGTTAGTTTAACCACGAGGAGAAAGACTGAAAGCACAGGTTTGGAAGGATATAGACCAGTGGCTCTGTTGTGGACATACAAAGTTTGAGATGCCTATGAGATATCTAAGTGGAAATGCAAATAGGTTGTTAGATATGAACTCGAGTTCAAGGTAAGATCCAGGTTGGAGATATTTTGAGGGGGTTTTCAACCTACTGGCAGTATTCAAAACATTGAGACAGGCTGAGCTCACAGGTGAATGAGTGCTCCAAAGTTAAGGTGTCAGGGAGATGAAGAAATATAAAGGCTGATGCTAGGTGCTACAGGAATAAGGTACTTCAGGGAGAAAGGAATGACCAACCCTGTCAAATACTGCCAGGAAGTCAAGTAGGAAGATGAGATAAGGACTAGGCAACATGGGTTTAACCGGGACTTGACAGGAGCTGATGCAGCCAGGAATGGGTTCAAGAGGCAATTGGAACTGGAGACACTTGAAGGGAATACATGAATAATGGGAAGGTAACTAAAGGAGTGAAATCAAGAGATTAAAAATGTCTTTTTTCCTCAAGAATGGAGAAGTAGCCTGTTTGCGGGTGATGGGCATGACCAAATAAATGCAGGGCAATTGGATGTTTTCGTGGAGGCAAGGGAGAATCGCTGGAGTAACGTCCCTGAATGGGGCATGAGTGGATGGGATGGGGCTGGCGCTAGGTAAGAGCTGGGCAGTCCTTCCACCCAGGGGCGGGAGGCAAAGGGACAGAGCAATAGGAGGCCACAGGTGCTGGTCGAGGAGCAAATGTGGGGGAGGAAATTAATTACCTAGCAGGATAATAGATGGGTTCTTTCCATTCTCCAGTCTTTGCGACTTATGTATTATTACATAGTTACACAAGATAGTGAAAGAAACAATTCATGCTGACAAATGGGCGTGTGTGAACAATGCAGCCAGAGCAACTTAAAGCCTACAAGGTTACGATAGGGTCAGAGGCGACCTCTAGTGGTTCACCTAGGCCATTAAGTTTTTCTTTTTTTCTTAGCAGAACTACAAAAATACTACGACCCATATTTTATATTATTTTTAAAGAAACAATTACAATTCACGGTTTAATTTAGAAATATATCAGGCATTTGATTAAAGTAAACCCAAACCATGTGCCTTCCAAGCTGGAGTCACTATTAATTATCATTACTAAGACTTTCTCCTTTAAGTACAGCATTCCCTGCCATACTGCCAATATTTATGTTCATTCTGCTTCTTGAAACGATGGTTTTCTTAAACCCAGAGGAAGGACAACTGGTAGGCCACTGCTGATCCAAGGCTAAACAGTCTTCTCAATCCTACACAGAGTAGAAATTCCTCATATTTTTCATATTTTATTTCACTTAATTTTTTATTGTCCCTGGATTTCCTGTCTGGCATTTCCCTCACGCTGCATTGTTAACTCATTTCCTTATTCGAGTCTTCCCTGATCTTTTGGAATACTCTAGGGTTTCCGTTATGCAATCTCACAACACCCGGTACTTCCTTCTCCTTCATGCCGTTTCCCCCAACTGTAATGAAATAGTAAATTGTGTAATGATTGTTTAATGTCTACTTCTCGTAAATCATGAGACGGGTAAGGGCTGAGACTGTGTCTGCCTTGTTCATCACTGTCTCCTCAGCACTTAGCTCAGTACCCAGCACATAACATGTATTCAATATATAAATATTTATTGAATGAACAGATAGTATCCTGAAGGAAACTCTTGCCATGACCCTATTAACATCTTTTGCATCCCACTGCAGATAAAACTACATTTCAGATGAGGATTTAGATTTGTTTCTTGAAAACAATTTACAATTGCTTTAGGTGCACCTGTAACAAATGTAACACTCTGTTGCAAAACTATTACAGCTACTCTTTCAGTAGCTCAGTTTAAATTTCTAGCCAGAAAAGCAACTCTACAAAGAAGGCTGAATCCTCAGGTATGACCCAGTCTTTATGAGATCATTTTTTCCAAGATAGAACTAAGGGAAAGACATTAACATTCCAACACAGAGAGAGGTAAAGCCCATCCTTATCTGTTGTCATAACCCAGTGTCATTTAGTCTCAGGTTTGGTAACATCATGCCACCTACAGGACTTACCTGGGCAACAGCACCACTGAAATGGGCGTGGTGGTAGTGTTTATTCCTCTGAGGCCTTTTGACAATCCCAGCCTCATTCTTAAGACTCTTTCTGAGTGCTGCTATTTAACACCAGAGACTGAGAACAGGGGAATGGCTGGTTTTGAAATACTGCACATGGTCCTTGGGTCCTAGACATATGCCTTGGAATTAAGAGGGAACAGAGTAAAATGTTCTGAGCAAGAAGTTGTCCAAGTCTACTTGGAATGTCTGCTATTATCGTATCTTCTCCCCTCACCCACCCCAACTCTTGATGTTATCATTTTGGTGTAGTCCTTTTTTATTTTTATTGAAGTATCGTGGATATACAGCCTTATATTGGTTTTAAATATACAACACAGTGGTTCAACAGTTACCTATTATTAATTCCTCACCCACTCTAGTGCGGTTACTATCTGCAACATAGGAAGATGTTACAGAATCATTGGCTATATTCTCCATGCTGTACTACCGTCCCCATGACCAACTTATATTATGATGAAAATTTTGGGTCCCTTTATCCTCCTCAGCCTCCCCACCCACTCACCTCAACTACCAGTAACTACCAATCCTTTCTCAGTGTCTATGAGTCTACTGCTCTTTTGTTCATTCTGTTTTGCTTTTAGATTCCACAGGTAAGTGATATTTGGTATTTGTTTTTTTCCAACTGGTTTATTTCACATAGCATAATACCCTCTAGATCCATCCATCTTGTTGCAAATGGCAGGATTTCTTTTCTTTTTATGGCTGAGTAATAAGTAATATTCCATTGTGTATTCTTTCATCTACTGATGGACTCTTAGGTTGCTTCCATATCTTGGCTATTATAAATAATGTGGTGAAAAACATAGGGGTGTATATATCTTTTCAAATCAGGGACTTTGTTTTCTTTACTTAAATTCCTAGAAGTGGAATTACTGGGTTGAATGGTATTTCTATTTCTAGTTTTTTGAGGAACCTCCATAAAAGTTTCCACAGGGGCTGCACCAATTTACATTCCCACCAACAGTGTAGGAGGGTTCCCATTTCTCCACATCCTCACCAACACTTGTTATTTCTTGTCTTTTGGATAGTGTCTACTCTAACTAGTGTGAGGTGATATTTCATTGTGGTTTTGATTTGCATTTCCCTGATGATTAGCAATGTGGAGCATCTTTTCATGTGCCTGTTGGCCATCTGAATTTATTCTTTGGAGAAATGTCTGTTCAGTTCCTCCACCCATTTTTTAAATCAGGTTATTATTGATTTTTGATGTTGAGGCTTGTGAGTTCTTCATGTATTTTGGATGTTAACCCCTTATTGAATAAATGATTTACAAATCTATGCTTTCATAACTGTAGGTTGCTTTTTTGTTTTACTGATGGTTTCCTTTTCTGTAGAGAAGCTTTTTAGTTTAATGTAGTCCCACTTGTTCATTTTTTATTTTGTTTCCCTTGCATGAGGGGATGTAACCAGGAAAAAATCGCTAGTGTTTATATTCGAGAGATTTTTGCCTATTTTTTCTTCTCAGAGTTTTGTGGTTTCATGTCTTACATTCAAGTCTTTGACCCATTTCAAGTTTACTTTTGTGTATGGAGTTAGTAATCCATGTTCATTCTCTTGCATGTAGCTGTCCAGTTTTCCCAACACCTGTTATTGAAGAGACTGTTTTGGTGTAGTCCTTTTGATTTGGACCCTGAGATTCTTTTCTGTTTCTTGCATGATGTAGCAGGATTTTCCTAAAGTCACAACTTTAACATTTTTATAGAGGCATATGTGATGATTAACTGCACACAATAAGAATTTCATTTATTCTGAACACCTTTAGATTAAACATCAGAATTAATACAAACATGCACTTGTATAATAGTGGCATATTCTCCCACATCTGCTGTTTCTCTCATGGAGCTCTTCCCCATATTGTTCATATGGATGGCTCCTTGTCATCCTTCAAGTCTCAGACTTGGCCTGACCATCTCCTCCTTTAGCCTATCTCATAGACCCTGTTATTTTCCTTCATACCACTAATCATAAGTCTTCAGATATTTATTGTGTTCATTCATTGTGCCTATTCTTCTAGACTGCAAGACTAGACAGGGACCTTTTTTGGTTTTGTCCACTTTTGCATTCCTAGGGGCCTACCACAATGCCTAACATATGGTAGGTGCTTCATAAAAAAGTGCTGAATAAATGAATGTTTTGTTTCACTTCCACTTGTTCCTCCTACAGCATTTTAGTTTCTGCTATTACACTGTAACTCCCTAGGGGATAGGAGAAAATGACAATGTGCCTTTCCTCCATCACTGAGTATTGAGATGGCAATTCTTTATTGAGAAGCTATTGGTTTCTCCTGGATGACTTTGACGTACTCAGAAGTGCACAAAAATATTATTATTATATTAGTAATTAGTAACAGCGTGACTGAGGCAATCAGGACAGCTGTCTGAAATGCTTTTATGGTTATACTTACTGGGTTCTTGGGCACCCGAAACTACGAACTACTGACATTACAATGAAGTGAGAATTAGCAGAATGTTGAAGTGTATGCATGTGTGTTTTAATTTGCATAACGAACCAAGGCATCCTACACCATCTCTCGGAAATGAAATTCAGATGGACACATCCTTGCGTGCCGGGAAGCAGAGCTTCTTGCTGCTGCTCCTCTGCCCAATGGGGGGCAGCAGCATCCTAGTAACTCATTCCCTGACGACGTGCAGGTGGGAGGAGATTCGCGTTCAAAAGTCTTTTGACTCTACCCGCTCTCCGTAGCTCCTTAACCCGCTGGAGTTTCAATGCGCGTTGTTGTTTTACGAAGCTGAGTCTTATACACCACCCGCTGTTTTCCTGGTCATGGCTTCTCCGAGTTCCTTCACCTACTATTGCCCTCCAACTTCCTCCCCAGTCTGGTCAGAGCCGCTGTACAGTCTGAGGCCCGAGCACGCGCGGGAGCGGTTGCAGGACGACTCAGTGGAAACAGTCACGTCCATAGAACAGGTGAGGTAGGACTGGGCGATGTGCCCGCGTGGGGGCTTCTGGGAGCGGGAGTCCGGTCCGCAAGGCCGCCCGGGTGCGGAAGTCACCCGGGAACTACGACTCCCACAGTACACCGCGGCAGCTCCCCTCTGGGAAGCTCTGGGCGCCCCGGCTTGTGCTGGGGAGTGGCGCGTTTGTAGGGCCAGGTTAGGGAGGGGTCGTCGTCAGGGTTGGGGTTGGAGGCGAGGACGGTACCCGGGTGCTCTCTGCCTTAGGGACCGGAGAGAATCATGTTCTGAGCCTGGAGGACTGAAATAGCCTGGGCGGGTCAGACAGCCCGCTACATTCTGCCAGGACATCAGGAGACTCTTGGATGGATACTGTACTTTCCCCACACTGTTCATAGTTTTGGGACATAGAGAAGAGAAGCGGCCAGACTGCGGTCATGCCATTCCATGATTTCTTTAATTTCTGACCCATAATGGCAGGTTTGGGTCCTGCCTCGTAGATGGGCATTTTAGTAATCATATCATTTGAGCACCAACAACGTGTTGGACAATGTTAAACGTTGGAAATACAAAGAATTAGAAGAGTGCCTGACCATGAGTACAGGCAGGAAAACAATACACTTGGAAAGTGCTATAGTAAAAGTATAAATTTTGGACTACGTGTCATTCATTCGCCGAGGTCTTGCAATGGGATCAGACCTATCACTTTGAAAAGGGATTGAGAAATGAGTAGTAAAAGATAGCTTAGTTTTTCTTCTATTCCCCAGTTGAAATTGTTTTCAAATTATTGTTGGAATGTTTGTCCATCTGTCACTAGAAAAGGTCAAGATGAATCTTTTTAGCATTAACTCCGAAGTATCAGACTGCTTACTGAAGTAAGATCTCTTAGTAAGATCAGTGTCCAGGCTTAGCCTTGGAGGGACCTGGTTTGACTTTCATACCTGAAGATGAAAGCCTCTGTTTAGGCAAATTAGTAGTGATAGTTATATTGTATATTTATGACTATAAGTGTAAATTAATAACAAAAACAAGGGCTTGAATACACAGTCATACATATAGAATAGAGTATTATAACTGGAGATTTCTACTTTGTGGATTTTAGGGTAGAAAGGAAATCCTTGCCTTTTGAGTCTAGCTCCAGAGGTTAGTTAGCTCACCAGTGTTTCCTTCTACAGAGGTGTTTTTGCAAAAGATTGCAAAGAAATCTAACATCAATGAAAAACCTACAAGATCTTTGCAGCATTCCTAAGTGATGGATTGTTGAGTTGATTCAGGTTGAGCCTTTTTCCTTTTTTCTGCTCTTAGACTGTTTGATTACCTTTTATGTAGTTAACCAGCCCAGCAGATAAGGCTATGGACAGAATGCTGATGGAGAAAGGAAATTAGAAGTTGGTCTGTTAATTTAGAAACCAGATCAGAGATCTCCTTGGTTAGAGGGGAGCTTTACTGAATCTTCTCTTTCTCTTTTTTCTATACTACTGTTTTCAGTAGAGTTTCCTGCTTAGTTCTTACCAGGAAAACACTAGCACTTATATTCTAAGTGCCTAGGCATAATGAGTGATGCAAAAATGGATACAAGGGTTGGCCACGGCCTGGCCAGATAAGAAAGTTAGGTTCTGATAAAGAACATTGTTATAGGATGTCTTTCAAATCTAGGCCCAACTGTGTGGTATAGTAGAGCATCTTATATTTCTTTTCCATACCATTATTCCAGCTCATGTTTTTTTTTTTCAATTTCTTATTAAGGTATGATTGATATACACTCTTACGAAGGTTTCACATGAAAAAACAATGTGGTTACTACATTTACCCTTATTATCAAGTCCCCACTCATACCCCAGTGCAGTCACTGTCCTTCAGTGCAGCAAGTTGCCAGAGATCCACTATGTCCCTTCTCTGTGATACACTGTTCTCCCCATGATCCCCTACACCATGTGTACTAAACATAATACCCCTCAATCCCCTTCTCCCTCCCCACCCACCCTCCCACACCCCTCCCCTTTGGTAACCACTAGTTCATTCTTGGAGTCTCTGAGTCTGCTGCCATTTTTGTTCCTTCAGTTTTGCCTCATTGTTATACTCCACAAATGAGAGAAATCATTTGGCATTTGTCTTTCTTC